CTTGTGTGAACATCTCGTTTGAAATATGAAAAATATGAAAATATATGGGGAGGAGGAGGTGGTGATGGTGGAGGCTGGTAGGGGTGATCAGGAGGGAGGCTGGCCGGGAGGGAGGCTGGCCGGGAGGGAGGCTGGCCGGGAGGGAGGCTGGCCGGGAGGGAGGCTGGCCGGGAGGGAGGCTGGCCGGGAGGGAGGCTGGCCGGGAGGGAGGCTGGCCGGGAGGGAGGCTGGCCGGGAGGGAGGCTGGCCGGGAGGGAGGCTGGCCGGGAGGGAGGCTGGCCGGGAGGGAGGCTGGCCGGGAGGGAGGCTGGCCGGGAGGGAGGCTGGCCGGGAGGGAGGCTGGCCGGGAGGGAGGCTGGCCGGGAGGGAGGCTGGCCGGGAGGGAGGCTGGCCGGGAGGGAGGCTGGCCGGGAGGGAGGCTGGCCGGGAGGGAGGCTGGCCGGGAGGGAGGCTGGCCGGGAGGGAGGCTGGCCGGGAGGGAGGCTGGCCGGGAGGGAGGCTGGCCGGGAGGGAGGCTGGCCGGGAGGGAGGCTGGCCAGGAGGGAGGCTGGCCGGGAGGGAGGCTGGCCGGGAGGGAGGCTGGCCAGGAGGGAGGCTGGCCAGGAGGGAGGCTGGCCGGGAGGGAGGCTGGCCGGGAGGGAGGCTGGCCGGGAGGGAGGCTGGCCAGGAGGGAGGCTGGCCGGGAGGGAGGCTGGCCGGGAGGGAGGCTGGCCGGGAGGGAGGCTGGCCGGGAGGGAGGCTGGCCGGGAGGGAGGCTGGCCGGGAGGGAGGCTGGCCGGGAGGGAGGCTGGCCAGGAGGGAGGCTGGCCGGGAGGGAGGCTGGCCGGGAGGGAGGCTGGCCAGGAGGGAGGCTGGCCAGGAGGGAGGCTGGCCAGGAGGGAGGCTGGCCAGGAGGGAGGCTGGCCGGGAGGGAGGCTGGCCGGGAGGGAGGCTGGCCGGGAGGGAGGCTGGCCGGGAGGGAGGCTGGCCGGGAGGGAGGCTGGCCGGGAGGGAGGCTGGCCGGGAGGGAGGCTGGCCGGGAGGGAGGCTGGCCGGGAGGGAGGCTGGCCGGGAGGGAGGCTGGCCGGGAGGGAGGCTGGCCGGGAGGGAGGCTGGCCGGGAGGGAGGCTGGCCGGGAGGGAGGCTGGCCGGGAGGGAGGCTGGCCGGGAGGGAGGCTGGCCGGGAGGGAGGCTGGCCGGGAGGGAGGCTGGCCGGGAGGGAGGCTGGCCGGGAGGGAGGCTGGCCGGGAGGGAGGCTGGCCGGGAGGGAGGCTGGCCGGGAGGGAGGCTGGCCGGGAGGGAGGCTGGCCGGGAGGGAGGCTGGCCGGGAGGGAGGCTGGGGAGGGAGGCTGGCCGGGAGGGAGGCTGGCCGGGAGGGAGGCTGGCCGGGAGGGAGGCTGGCCAGGAGGGAGGCTGGCCGGGAGGGAGGCTGGCCGGGAGGGAGGCTGGCCGGGAGGGAGGCTGGCCGGGAGGGAGGCTGGCCGGGAGGGAGGCTGGCCGGGAGGGAGGCTGGCCCGGGAGGGAGGCTGGCCGGGAGGGAGGCTGGCCGGGAGGGAGGCTGGCCAGGAGGGAGGCTGGCCGGGAGGGAGGCTGGCCGGGAGGGAGGCTGGCCGGGAGGGAGGCTGGCCGGGAGGGAGGCTGGCCGGGAGGGAGGCTGGCCGGGAGGGAGGCTGGCCGGGAGGGAGGAGGCTGGCCGGGAGGGAGGCTGGCCAGGAGGGAGGCTGGCCAGGAGGGAGGCTGGCCGGGAGGGAGGCTGGCCGGGAGGGAGGCTGGCCGGGAGGGAGGCTGGCCAGGAGGGAGGCTGGCGGGAGGGAGGCTGGGGAGGGAGGCTGGCCGGGAGGGAGGCCGGGAGGGAGGCTGGCCGGGAGGGAGGCTGGCCAGGAGGGAGGCTGGCCAGGAGGGAGGCTGGCCGGGAGGGAGGCTGGCCGGGAGGGAGGCTGGCCAGGAGGGAGGCTGGTCCTGGTGCCGCTGGGGGTCATCGGGTAATGTTGAGTGATCTCTCTTGTTGTCTCTCCTTTCCACGCAATTCGTTCCCAGTGCTTGCAGACTCTCCCACAGTCTTCTGCTGTGTGTGTGTGTGTGTGTGTGTGTGTGAAGGGGAAGAGTCGGGCTAACATTCATCAAGCATTATTTACGTGTCTTCGTAGCAAACTCATGCATCTTTCCTCAATCACAACGGCTTATTCTGACTGAGGTTAATGGTTGTTTATCTCATGTGGAGATGCTGAGGTAACGGTGTTCATCTTGGGGAGATGCTGAGGTAACGGTGTTCATCTTGGGGAGATGCTGAGGTAACGGTGTTCATCTTGGGGAGATGCTGAGGTAACGGTGTTCATCTTGGGGAGATGCTGAGGTAACGGTGTTCATCTTGGGGAGATGCTGAGGTAACGGTGTTCATCTTGGGGAGATGCTGAGGTAACGGTGTTCATCTTGGGGAGATGCTGAGGTAACGGTGTTCATCTTGGGGAGATGCTGAGGTAACGGTGTTCATCTTGGGGAGATGTATCTGTGTTGCCAACGTGTTTGATTATTGTGTTCATATAATATTACCACAGACGGCGGCGGATGTACCGAGGTGTCTAGAGCCAGGGTCGTGTGGTTTACCTGTACGCGGTTTCGCAAGGTATGCTCTCCAAGCCAGGCCTGGGGTCCAGGCTTATTTGGAGAAAACTGTCCAGGGTACGTGTACTTCCTTACATTCCATCCACCCGTTTGGGTTTCCAGCTTCCACCTGTGTCGTCTCATCTTACATTCTCGCACTTTATTGAGGCTGTCCTTGTCCACCTTGTCTGTTCCTCTCAGTATTTTGTATTTTTTGATCATGTCCAGTCTCCCCCCTTCCCTCTCACCTGCTTCGTCTCTCCTACAGGATTGTGAGGTCTGGTTCTCCTTACCTTAGCCTCATGACGGAACCCTCGTAGCTCTGGCACCACCAGTCTCATACCTGTACTACTCCAATTTTGGTTTCGTGTTGCATATTAGCTTCCAGGCCAGAGCTTCATGTTAGTGTTGGTCTAATGTAGGCTGTGTACAGGCGATGACCCACAATAACGTGGCTGAAATATGTTGACCAAACCACACACCAGAAAATGAAGGGACGACGACGTTTCGGTCCGTCCTGGACCATTCTCAAGTCGATTCTCACAATCGACTTGAGGATGATCCAGGACGGACCGAAACGTCGTCGTACCTTCACTTTCTAGTGTGTGGTCTGGTCACCATAGGCTGTGTATATACACTTGGAAGAGTCCTAGATTTTGGTTTCGTAGTGGTGGTCTGATAGGGATGGGGTGTGGTGGTTGGTAGTTGTGGAGGCGCTGTAGTGGTGGTTGTGGAGGTGAAGCCTCCGTGACAGAGACGGCGGCCTCGTCTCCCACAGACGAGGAGACGATGGAAGCCGTGAAGACGGGGTGAGAGGGGGGGGGAGAGCGGAAGGGGGAGAGTGAGTGAGGAAGTGGACCAACTTGAGAAGTATTTTTTTACCACATTTATGGAAGATGACTCAATAATAAGTTAACATAGAGGAGCTTGGAGGACTCTTGCTTCCTGACCCCACAGTTCATGTAATTAATATTTGATTTCAATATACAGTGATTAACATGCGGCCCCGGCGACCTGTGCGTGTTATATATATATATACACTACAGGTGGCTCTTGGGTGTTACTTGTAGGCCTAGGTGATATCTGAGGAGCGTGAGGCAACAGTAGGCTTATAGTCCACGACTGTCAGTGACTGCACACTTACACTCCTCTCCAGTCCTTCGCCTCGTGTTAAGTCTTAGGTCGAGGTCAACATCTGTCATTGACCTTTGACCGACATGGCGGACGAGGTGCCCTAAGCCCAGGGAACCCAACCCCTCTTCCCCCCTCGCATCTCCTCCCAGCGCTCGGACCTCCTCCCCCAGGAGCGCTCGGACCTGTGGTAGGCGACAGCCTCCACCACATTCCTCACTCACACTAATTGACCGTAAAAAGATAACGATTGTGGTAGTTCTTCGATTATCCGCGGTACGAGGCCTGGTTAGGGCGTCTGGGTACAGGTGAATAGTGGTGGGTGGTGGTCCAGATGGTGGTGGTAGTGGCACCTCAGGTGCTTCCTATCACGCTCCAGTGTGTGATTACTGTTACCCACACTTCCCTACCCCTCTTTCCCCTCCCCTCCCCCACGCTGCCCTCGTGTGAGTGTGGGGCAGCAGCGTGAGGAAGATGATGATGGGGGGTGATTGTGGGTGTAGCTTCACGCCAACAATCGTGACATTATAGAATACAGTAATTATACGCACCTCACTGTACCGATCGAGAGCCGTCGGTGAGGAGGCAGTGTGGCCGCCACTCACCAGCTGGTGGTGGCTGGTGTAGCACCTACGGACGAGGTCTACACACACACACACACACACACACACACACACACACACACAGACAGACAGACAGACAGACAGACAGACAGACAGACAGACAGACAGACAGACAGAGAGCTGGCTGTGCACATGTAGAGGTCAGACGGCACCTGTTAGGGACGGTGTTGACCATAGCCGACGTTGGAAAACGAAATAATATGTAAATGCATCTATGATTTCCATGCGGACACTGGTGTCCGTGTGTGATGACACATGGGTCGGGCCCATGAAGTGGTAGGTCGGGCGGTGCCTTTCGTGTGTCACAGTGAGGGAGAGACGTCTTGGTGGTGTGATCCAGGGCCCCCATGGCTTTAGTCCATGCGAGGCAGCTCCTATATACACGGAACCCAACCAGTCTTGCGTGTGACAACCCCGTGACCCTCTACGCTTGTTGTCACCTGTCAAACATGTTTCATAAACCAACACCCTATTTGTAAACCAGTATTTGTCCACGTCATTTTTTAATGTAAGTTTGTCCATGTACGTGTAAAAAGGTTAGCAATTGTTTCACACTCTTGACTTTTTTGTTCCTTTTTCAAATATATACGACTTATGGTGTACTTTTACAAAGAGCTGTGTAGGATGTGTGTGTGTTAATCACTGACTTGCTTGTTATGTTTACAGATGTTGGGTGAGAGGAGTGTGCGAGGGGAGGCCAGACCAGAGAGAGTAGCAGGGACTACACTCTACACACCTGCACGTCCTAGCAAGAGAAGTGGCCACTGAATATCTGGGTACACCTGCTCGCTCCAGAAGACACCTAGAAATTAAAAAATAAACTAGGCTATACATGGTGGAGGGACAAGCCCTGGCTTTGTGAGAGCTCAACCGCGTATTGCGGCGTGTTAGGAGAGTGAGCGTGTGCAGAGTGCGGCTGTGAGAGCTCCTTGTGTCAGGAGAAGCTTGGCTGTGATGTTTACAGCAGTCCCAGTGAGCTAAGGAGACTGGTGCTCCGTCCACTGACTACTGGCGTCTCACACCATGGATAGAGCAGCCGTCACCTGACAACTCTCGACCACTATACACTACAAGGACCCGACACAGAAGGAATGCTCTTCGTTGGGTTTAGCCATATAATTGAGGATTTTTAGTGTTATTAGTGATGAGGTAAGCGGGTACTGTCATCAGCAGACGAGACCCAGCTGGCCAGACGGCTGGGCTGACTCACGGCTCCTGGCCACACTCACGGCTCCTGGCCACACTCACGGCTCCTGCTCTAGGAAACATTGTCCCAAACACAACACTAGCACTATCTGCCTCCCAACTGCACACAGTCTCTCACGATGCCGCAGACGGTCTAATGTTGTTATTGCGAGAAGTAAATATGTGGTGACGAGCGTGAACTGTCAGTATATGTGTGAGGTGGGACCAGGCCAGGCGTAACACAGAGCTGTCTTCTGGGCAGGGTACTGGACACGCGCCACCACACAACATCGCCCCTAATCATAAAATATCAAGCCACCGCGGAGCTCAGCCACCCACTATCAATAACCACCAAGTGATTTGGGTTAACAAGACGACCACACCACACCACCACTGCCACCACTACACAGGGAGCAGCGCTGTGTAGACAGGTGACGCAACAATACCAACACCAGGGACAGATAGGAGTGTATCCGCAAGAACACACTTAACAATGTTTTAGTGTGTCACTGACTGGTTGTGGCAGAGGACCAGTGTGACGCCAGAGCTCTTCCCCTCCACCGCAGGGGCCCCAGCGGGTCTGTATCGGTGCCAGGGGCTCCCGCCTACCGTAGGAGCCACTGTTCAGAGCCATAGCGACTCTGTTCTTTAACCCTCAACCGCAGGAGCTGCTGAAGGGGAATATAGCAACATAAAGACTGCCTCTCCCTACTGAAGGAGCTGTCTCTTGGATAGTGGTCTGGGCCGAACAGTTCAAAGTGGATAACAGACCAGAGGAACATTTTCCACAATACACTAAAATTTGCAGCTTTAACTCGACAGAAGTGGTGACTATATAAAGATATATATATATATAAATTAATATATTTAACAAGTGTTAATATAATCTAGACTGAAATGTAGCCGCATATGTGGAGCATGTTAAGTGTTTCATGCGTCGTGCTGAAGAGATTTAACATAGCCAGTAAAATAGACATTTTCTCCTAGCAACATTTTACTAGTCCGCTTATATAGTTATTAATGTTACTGTCCACAATCATATATATCCCCAAAGTATGATAACTTGCTTCTAGTGAAGTGGCCAGTCGTCATCTTCCGAGAATTAGAAGATACTGGTCTTGGAGGACACGGTCACTTGCCATTATCAATAAACTCGCAAGATTCCAGAACAGAAATTCGTATATATGAAAATAGTGTGGAGGGCGCGGGGAGTGAATAGCACGGACCACCAGCTCCTCGCCTCGACGGCTGCCGAGAGAAGACCAGAGTCTGCGAAGACCTTTCCAGAGGGCGCTGTCAGAACACCTCCCTTGTACAGGCGGCTCGTAAGGCAGCATCGGCGTCGTCATGAAGGCGTCGGGGTACGTCTGTGCGGGCTGCGTCGTCGTCGGCGTCGGCGTCGTTCTCAGTCTGCTCACTGGTAAGACTCAGGTAAGTGACTGGGACAGATGGATTGTTTACATTGAGTATTTTCCCTACAACTCTTACGTAAATACCTTGACGGCACATTCCTGTGCGGGTGACCTTACCTATTGGTGCCCCTCCTCCTCCCCCCCCAGCACAATACCCCTGCACAACACCTCCCACCTACCATTATTCTCCAGTTGTACCACCATACAGTGGGCTACACCACGCTCCGGTGCTCCCACACTTAGACTGCTTTGCCCTCTCCTGTCCGCTCTCATTACCTGTACCATCCCCCCCCCCCGTCCCGCACGAACGCCCCCCCCCCCCCACCCAAACACACACGCACACTCACGCTCACACTCACTCACTCACACTGTTAGTTAATTACTCTGACACTGAAAAAGTTCTTTCTAACGAGCCACAGGAACGTTAGAAAGAACTTTTTCAGTGTCAGAGTAGTTAACAGATGGAATGCATCAGGCAGTGATGTGGTGGAGGCTGACTCCATACACAGTGGCAAGTGTAGATATGATAGAGCCCAGTAGGCTCAGGAATCTGTACACCAGTTGATTGACAGTTGATAGGCGGGACCAAAGAGCCAGAGCTCAACCCCCGCAAGCACAACTAGGTGAGTACTCTCTCTCTCCAACCCATCCTCTTGTTTAGATAGTTTTTGTAACTATGTGCACCATAGTACAAATATTGACATACTAAGCAATTAGATAGTAGAATTTTGTACTATTCACTTTAGTCCGAAAAAATGAAGATAAAAAACTTACATATTCCCAGGCCTCAGATAGCTTGTATTAGGCCTAGGGGAGTTAGGGTAGTTTTGTTTGTTTGTCTTTGCAACATAAGTGGAAAACTGTTTTTCCTTTTTGTCCAAATTCAATAGTACCGATTTCTACTTTCTAATTGTGTTGAACGTCGGTGTATGTACCATGTGTTACCTGGATCTTACCTGGAGAGGGTCTCGAGAGTTCCTCTACTCCCAGAGCTCGGCCTCGACTTGTGATAACTTGGTCCAACAGGCTGTTGCTTGGAGCGGCCCGTAGGCCCACATATCCATTACAGCCTGATTGGTCCGGCACTTCTTGCAAGAACTTATCTAATTTGTTCTTGAAGACACACACCTTTGTTCCAGCATAATTTCTAATGCATGCCGGGAGGGTGTTGAACAGCTGTGGACCTCTGGTGTTGAGGCAGTGCTCTCTGATTGTGCCTATGGCACCTCTACTCCTCACTGGTTCTATTCTGCATATTCTGCATTTCTTTATGGTCCTCATTGTCCTCATCAATGTCATCCTCATCCATGCATTGTCATCCTCAATGATCAATTATAAGTACAATCAAAACAGGAGGATGGGTCTCTCTCTCTCTCTCTCTCTCTCTCTCTCTCTCTCTCTCTCTCTCTCTCTCTCTCTCTCTCTCTCTCTCTCTCTCTCTCTCTCTCTCTCTCTCTCTCTCTCTCTCTCTCTCTCTCTCTCCCTCCCCCCTTCCCCCCTCCCCCTCCCTCCCCCCCCATCTCTCTCCCACGCCGTCTCTCTCTCAGCCAAACACAATAGTGTCCAAATACCTCCCCCTCCCTGACACATTCCCAAGCCATGCCAACACGCATTCCTGTGAAGCACGTGGGGGCAGGACCAGCCACAGTCCCCGTACACCTGGAGTGGAAGTAGAGGGACTCCTGGGGAGTATCTGAGTACTAGTAGCTGGGATATTGATACTCCGCATATCAGAATAACAGGGAGTGTCTGGAAAGGTCTTGAGTTCTTAATGCTGACATCATATCTAATGCATCTCCGCTTTCTTCTGGGCTAATTTGCACTTCCTGCCATGCCTCCTAGTCTCGTGTGGAGTTATTTCCGTGTGCAGATTTGGAACCAGCCCCTCTAATATTGTGTCTTTCTTGCCTTCGCTCTGGAGAATAAAGATTTAGACATGATAAGCGGTCCCGTAGTTCGTACGTTGTTGTTGTTGTTATAGATTCAGCTACTCGGAACAAGTTCCAAGTAGCACGGGCTATGGTGAGCCTGTCTGGGGATGCTGGGTGGCGCGCTGTTTCTTCACCTTTATGGGTCTAAGACTTCCCAGGTGTCGAGTGGGCATCTTATTACATGACTGCTGATGATGGCACGGTGAAAGGTTACAATTACACTAATGTATTAGACAAACTACAATATATTTCATTGAACATAATACATATAACTATATAGCCTAGACTAACGTGATTTAACATCAATTTATTTATTTTATATTTAACAATGATACAAATCACATGAAGATCCATGGTCACCTGTACATTAGTCGTCGCCGCTGCCAACACACACACGAACACTGACTACTTACTCACGAATACGAAGGAACACACGCACGGATAATAAACAAAATAAAAATAATGTAGATACACGGAGAAAACTACTGTAAAAGAAATGACATTGTAAAACAACCACAATTATCAGACGGTTTAAAGTGTAGACTTGTCCTTTATATTAAAGGTTTGTGATGTAAGGCTGTGGTCTATATGTGGCAGGAGCAGACCTTGTGAGTTATTTTGAGACCACTACGTCGTTTTGGTCTTGTGTCTGGCAACCATGCTATGTTTTGATGTCCACAGTACGAGAACTACCAAGATGTCAAACGGAAACTAGAATGTTCACAAACATACTTTGTGTGTGTGTGTGTGTGTGTGTGTGTGTGTGTGTGTGTGTGTGTGTGTGTGTGTGTGTGTGTGTGTGTGTTTACCTAGTTGTGCTAATCTGATAGTGACTGCATGACTGAATGAATGATTGATGAAGTTTAAGCCACCACAAGAGGTGACACGGGCATGAATAGCCCGTAGGTGGTAGATTTTTTTAGTGCATATGATCTTTGGTCGTGTAAGGATATACTGCGTGCTGTGCTCGCATTTAAATCGTCAGTGCTTACTATGTGGCTGCTATCGCGGGGGAGGATACTGTTTGACAGTATTTATTAGGATCTCCAGCTGCTGGACACTCTTCATTACCAGAAGAGTGGCAATGTTGAAGGCTTTAGGGTAGTTACTGCAAGATTCAGGGACTCATCTGCAGACTTAACACGTATTTTGTGTTCCTTAAGTCTGTCATTCAATACCTCTCCAATACTTTGGTTGTCCTCTCCAATACTTTGGTGAAACTGGCCGTACACTTAATGACAGACTTAAGGAACACAAAAGTAGTGTTAAGTCTGCAGACACAAACAATGCTCTCTTCTGTCACGTTAGGGACTCTAATCATCCTATTGATTGGTCTTGCTCCAAAATAATCTTTCCTGCCTCTATACAGACGCCGTTTTGTCGAATCGGCTCAGATACACAACCGACCTAACATGAACCTGAGTCCTGGCTTTGTTGCTGTTGACTTTTCCCTCTCACAATATATACTCTAATGTTCCAACCTTCTAAACAAACGTGACCTGACATAAGTCTATCCTTATAGAACGAAATATCCATGTAGCACGGGCTATGGTGAGCCCGTAAACCTTCCGTACTTTTTGCCTTGCTCTTAGCTTCCTCTTAAGATTTCCATCTCCTCGCTGTTGTTGTTTTAGATTCAGCTACTTAGAACAAAAGTTCCAAAGTAGCACAGGCTATGGTGAGCCCGTAGTGGACTTACTTGTCACAGGAGCTGGGCTGTAACTCATCTCCTCGCCTCTCTTATGCCTTTTGTATTGTAACCACCATCCAGGTGATCGTTTTTAGAACCGGTTTAAATGTTCGTCTGTGAGACAAGGGAACCAGCACCAAACTTGTTACATCAGGACCTCGGGTAGTTAAGGTAAACTCTTCACAATTGGATGCCTGATTAGATTTATTTCATATACTGTGTTTTGTCTCATCATCGTGACCCTGATTGTTCCCACTTACTGAATTATACCTTTTTATATGGTAGTGATTTGTAACTTTTAAGGTCATTTCGTAAAATTGGATATACCAGGGGGGGGAATATCAGGGGGATATACCAGAGGGGGGATATATCAGGGGGATATACCAGGGGGGGATATACCAGGTGGGATATATCAGAAGGATATGCCAGGGGGGATGTATCAGGGGGATATGCCAGGGGGGATGTATCAGGGGGATATGCCAGGGGGATATACCAGGAGATGTACTGGGGAGGGAGGCCAGGATGCCTTTCTTGATATCCGGAATGCAACCGACCACGGTCTTGTTTTCCTAGTGTGTGGTGACCTTCGTGCCCTCACAGCCTGGCTGGGGGGCGCGGGCACCCCGGGCGACCCGGGCCGTGCAGGAGAGTTATATAAGTGTGGACCTGAAGCTATTAATAAATGCATGTGTGCAGGTGTGGGGGGAGGGGTGAAGAAGGGGTGAGAGGAAGTAGCGGATGCCATGTGGCCCTGTAGTGGGGGGGGGGAGATGGGGGATGGGGGGAGGGGGAGCCAGTCTGGCACCGCGGGTGTGACGCGTGCCATTTCCCCGCCATTCCCTCCCGCCCCCTCCCCTGGGGTCCCTGGCACATGTGAGTCCGTGTCTTGTTTGCACCCTGGGATTGGGTGAATTTGTGGTGGGGTGGGGGGGGGGGGGGGGGGGGGTTGTTTATACAGTAGGGGGCGGGGGGCGGAAGGTAGTGAAGAGCTTCCACTTTGAGTGACATCCCCGTCAGTGAGTCACGGCGCCACGCCCCCCCCCCCTGACCTACACCACCCACCTGATCACTGAGCCTCTCGCTGTTTTGCCTTCGTGTAATATACAATTCAATTTCTTTTATTATTATGCACCCCATACCCATCCCGTGGGCAGTGGTGTAAAGGATTACAGAGGCACATAATCGGATACAAGGCGATGTAACTTGCGCGCGCGCGCGCACACACACACACACACACACACACACACACACACACACACACACACACACACACACACACACACACACACACACACACACACGCAC